GATCGTGGCAAACATGCTGGCTCATTGCATAGGTAGCACTTGAAAATTATATCACATGATCCAGCCTAAAAGCTCCAGTTATATACATAGTGGGTTACTAACGATATATATTATGTACCCCAGTAACCTACTATTTAGGAAACTGGAGCCCTAGGGCAGTATATAGGTAGATTCAAGAGCCGTTCCTTGTCTGATGCACGAGATCGTGTCGGTATTGCCAATGTTGTAGTATACGTTATCGGTAGTTCAGTGCATTTCGTGTGATGCACGAGCATGCTTCGTGCTGGGTTGCTTGCGCGGGCCAAGCTTATTTCAAAGAGGAAGCGTGCGCCCATCCTTTCCCCTGCTGCTTTTTGATCATGATGCATGCAAGCTGTACATGTCTCTGATCTAGCTACATGTACATGTGCTTGCTGCTGGTCTTGGCAGTTCATGTGGCTAGCGCTGCTAACAGTATACGTACTGTGTGCAGAGTCGCCATTTCAGCCAGCTGGGGTGCCAAGTAGCTTGGACGTACTGCAACAATGGTTTGCAGTGCACCTGGCGATGGGGCTGCCTCCGAGCCTGTCGGTTCAGAGGCTAGCAGTGGGGGTGAAGAGGAACTCATCATCCCTGAGGATGACCCTGTGCGACTAGGCAGCTGTACAGTGAAGCTTCCAAGTAATTGATCTTAATATATAAGAATGTCCATGACCAGGATCGAGCAGCTGAAGGACATCCTGGATGAGTGGTCTCGTGGACGTCCAGATGGGAGTGAGATTTCCCGGGTTGCCATCATACGGCGGGCACGTGATTCTTGTTCGCATGCAATTTGTGTGTGTGTGTACATGTGTGTGTTGTGTGTACATGTACTAGTGTGGGTACTACGTGGCGATCGAGTCACAAGCTTAGGATCATGATCTCTATGAGCCGTTTGACTTCATCAGTGATGAAGAAGTGGAGAAAGCCTTCCACCTATTGGCTCCCATTGTGGCGGCCTTTGGCAAAAAGGTTCCGAATGCGAGCAAAATCAAGAGCGCCTTGTGTTGGCTCAATCGAGAGCATCTTATTTGGCCCGTCCCCACCAAGAATGTCATTAATGCCACTAGTCTTAAACTTATAGTTTTCGAATTCGGTAATTTCGATTCCACCGGTACCTGCATCTGAGGAATGGTCGCAATTCAATGCAGGCACCATCCGGGCCCGGGCTGTGTACCTGGTCCGGCTCTACAGAAAGACTCCGAAACGTTCCAGGCTGCTTTTTTGCATCATATAAGACCCGAAGGCCCCAAGCTGCCTCAGAATGTACCCTCGTGCCACATGTTAAGGACGGAAAAGGTGCAAATCTTGAAAGACATTTTGGCCAGTTGGGAGGACGGCGGCGAGGAGTCGGATGCGAGTGAGCTATCCGATTCGGCCCCGTCCGATAGTGGAGATGATGGCTCAGATGCTGCATCTGTCGACGAGGGAGATGCAGCGGAAGGTAGGTAATGGACCAAATATATATATATATATGTGTGTTGTTACGTTGGGTGCTGCTAAGTTAAGGTGAGCCCGAGCTGGATCAGCCAAGCGAGCCCAAGAACAAGAAGACCCGACCACCTGTGCCAGTTTTCGAGGCACTCCGTTGTTGAAGCTGTCTGTACATATTGCATGGGTTCAGGACACATTATCTGGTCACCTGTTGATATCAAGTCGTTGCAGGTACCAGCCGTGCTGGAGGCCGCAGGAGCGCCAGTGGAGCCGGCTGCTATGGAGCCTGAGGAGATCATGTATTTTTGTGAAGTTTTCGTTTCCAAGTATGTTGAGCTCTGCAGGAGCCAGTTGCGATGGCCGAAGGATTGCCAGACGAGCTCACTGCTTTGGAGC